TTGGGCTGCAGTTTGACGCTGTCGGAGCTGCTCTGTGAGTCAGGGGGCCTTCTCGCCTGCAGCACCATGGTCCAGTACCAGAGGAAGATGAGGAAACCTGGGAGAGGAGGGAGGAAGGGTGGGTGAACCCCCTCCAACGACCAACAGCAGCCGAGAGCGAGCCCGCCAGCCTGCCAGGGACGGCCCCTCTCATATCCCATCACCACCCCACCAGCACCCCATGAAAACCCCGGTGCCCTTCGGAGGAGGGACCTTTGGTTCCAGGTTCACCTTGGAGGGAGTTGATGATGGTGAAGATGTAGAGGGAGACGAGGCGGAAGACGCCAGAGGTGAAGGAGAAGAAGACCAGCGCCCAGGGGATGCCCAGCAGGATGCTCAGCCCAAAGAGGGCTAGGACGTGCTTGAGCTTGTGGCCTTTCTTGTTCTGCCGGAGGATCTCCCGGACCATGGCCCCCAGCATGATCGAATTAAAGAGGAACACCAGGCTGAAGAAACCCAGGTTCACAACGTTATGGATCAGGGGGCTCGTGATCCAGCATCTGGAGGGAGGAGAAAGGGCAGAGGGTTATGCCATGTCGTCCCATGGGGGCACAAGGTGGAAAGGTTGGGAGAAGCACAAAGGTATGGGGGAAGGCCAGCACGCAGCTCAATTAAACCCCGAGGGGGGAATCCCCCACCACCACCCTGCACAAAGCCCCAGAAAAGCCACAAGTGGCCAAAGGAAAGCCTGTAGGACCTGGTGAAGGTTTAGCTGGTTGACTTTATCTAAGACCAGGGACCAGGCAACCCATTTCCCATGACTTACATGGTTGCATTGGTGGATTTGCCACCAATAGATTCATAGACAGGAATGGAGAAGGGGCCGTAGTTTGTCCAGCTAGCCAGGAAGATCAGCATCACGCAGAAGAAGGGGAGACCTGGGTGTCAAGAACAGAGTGAAGCAGCCGCCCTAGTCCCCAGCCCTTGGACCTTCTGGAAGGATTTGTTGCCCCTTTCTCCCTGCGTAGAGTACAAACCAACATCCTCCCTCCCAAGAGGGGAACCGAGGATGGAGCACGCAACATAGATGCCTGGTGTAAGCCCCAGCCCGGGAGCGAGGGGGGACCCCAGGGTAATGGAATTTTAGGCCGCAAAAGATCATGAGAACTTCCTACCATGGCCTCCTGCCCAAAGCACAGCAGAGATGCATGGGTGCTCCCTGCATCAAACCCGTCTCTCCGGGCTGTCCTGGATGTTTCTTTCAGAAAGAGAGGGTCCCGACACTATTTAAAGACCCCAAGCAGTGGCCCTCGCATGCCTCCCTTGCTGGGTGACCTTCAGGGTGACCCACCCTTGCCCTAGCACCAGCTTCTGCTCTCAGCCATCGAGCCTCCTTCTCCACATCCCTCAACTGAGACACTCCTCTGCTTTCAGATATCTGTTCCCCCACAGCTACGTCTCCATCCCCATCCGGGCACTGTATACGGTGGGAAAGACCTACCCGGGTGCCCATCCACCCCGTGGCCCATGCCCTCAGGGCATCTCTGCCTCCCCCATGCTCACCCCAGCCCACCAGGCAGAGCTTGAGGAGGAAGTGGTCATGGTAGGCGTTGAAGACTTCGATCACAAGCCGGTAGAGGTTGTAGCCCTCGATGCCCATCCAGGTGAGGCAGCTCAGGAGGGAGAAGTGCAGGAACAGCCCCCCAGCTCTGCAGACCGCCTCGCTGCTGCTGGAAGCCAAGTGCTCAGAGATGAGGAAGGTGACGTCCAGGAGGAAGATGGCGCCCAGCAGGTTCATGTGGATGTGCATGCTCATGATCTGGTCTCGCTGCTTGCTTCTGGAGAATTGAGGTGGGGAGACCTCACCACCATGCCTGGCCCGCATCACTAGTGCCCCACAACACACCACAAGCTCCGCATGGGGCAACTCGCCCCGGCCAGAAGAGCCAGGAGACCCTCTGGTGGTGTCAGCGGTTGAGAGCCTAAACCCACGGGTGGGACCATGTGTAAATTCAGGTCCCTGCAGCTGACCCTGCAGCATTTCAGGTCTAGGCCATGGCAGGTGGGGAGCAACATCATTTCAGCTCTGAATCATCTACGCAGAGTCAGTGACATGACTCAGGAGAAGACACTCATGTTCTCCACTGGGCCCTTGAAAAGACCTTTGTAGGCTTCTGCTTGCCAGATCCATAACAACGACCAAGCTGTTTTTCCAAAATCATTGAAAACAGCCAGCGTTTTCGAGCACCCTGCGGGAGACCTGACCAAGGGGGTGGTTTCTGGAGAGCAGAACGCTGCTTTCTTCAAGCGTGGCTCCTTCATCATGCTTCTAGCCAGGCCACCAACTGCACTGGGAGAGCTTGCACCCACCCAGGTGTAGTGGCAACGGACAGGACGCAGACAGGGAGCATGGGGTGAAGTCAGACTGTACCTGAAGTAGAGGAAGACGATGGTGCAAATGGATGCCAAAGCCGAGATCAGGCAGCCGATGTAGGTTATGATACTCAGGTAATCCCTGTGTATGTAGGTGATCTCCGGAGAGGATACCTGAGGAGAAGGAGGAACGAGGTGGGAAGGAAGAACAGCCGGTGGGAACGATGTAGAGAGCAGCGGGAAGGTGCTACCCACCATCAGCACAGCAAAGTAGGTGAGGTGGTTGCATCTGCAGTCCGTCCGGCTGTCCCCCCTTGCCGTTGTACAACCGTAGCTGTCCCAGCTCCCAGAGCTGGCTGCGCAAGAGAAAGGGAGAGCATCGGGTGAGCAGCAGGAACATCTGCTTCGGGTTGGTGGATCTTCAGGGAAAGGTGTCCGTGGCAGGGGGAGGACAAAAGTGGGGGTCCCAGCTTGTCCCATGCCAAGCAACACACACTCAGACAGCACCCTCAGCATCGGGACCCATCCCTAGGGAGGGACGTCTTAGGTTAGCTATGGAGGGAAAAACCTGAAATCAACCCCGTGGGAAAGGTTTATGGAGCTGGGGCAAGAGAGGGAGGTTGCAGAGCAATTTTTACCCTGGCTTCACACAAAAGTGCAGGAGCACTCACCAGTGGTGTCCTCCTGCCAGAAGACACACAGCGGGCTCACGTTCCTCTGCAAAGACAAAACCATGGGCCCTGATCGGGATGCGGCTGTGGGTTTGCTGCCCGGCCAGCACATTCGATAGGGGAGAAGATGGGGCAGGAGGCGAGATGGTCTCAGGAGACCAACCATCCCGTATCATGGGAGTGGGCTCCAGGCAGAGACCTGGACGAGCAGCTGCCTCCTCCCAGGTCCCCTTTTCCAAACAAGAGGTTCAGCTTTGAGCAGGGGCCATGAACGAGCCAAGGGACTGTTAAAGTGTCCCCCAGCCCTGGAGATTGTGCTGGAGGCGACACATCTGCAAAGCAGCATCTCCTGGACAGGCGCAGGCAGTGCCGCCACCAGTGCACACAGTGAAGCTGTGATCATGATACAGCTCCAGAAGACGCAGCAGGCCCTGTACAGGCTGGCCAAGGACGTTGACCTGCTGGATTGTGACCACTCTCTAAGCTGGCAGGGCCTGAGCCCTCCTTGCCCCTCCATTCCTGGTGGGAACAGGTTCAATGAGGCTGTTCCCCGACCTACCGGCAGCTGGTCATGGAAGAAAGTGAGGACCACTGGGTCGGAGAGGTTGGCCACCACTGCGTCCACCAGGGAGATGCCGACCACCTTGTCGCCCAGAATGTGGCTGCTGTTCTCATCCTGTTGGATCAGAAGAGGCGGCGGTGGCAGTGTGGGAAGGGAGAGCTGCCGGGCGTTGATCTTCTCCGAGCAAGCACCGGCACCCTGGTCTGGGCGGCATCCCTGCCGCCCTGTACCCCCGGAGCCCCCAGCACGGCGGGGACACCCCCCCACGCATGCCACGCGTCTGGGCGTTACCTGGAACATGGTCTGGCTGTTGATGTCCATGAGGAGTACCCTGTGCTCCGCCACCTCCTCCGTCACCGTTGTGAACAGGCTGCTCGGCAGGTCCACCGCAAACCCGTGGACCTTTCCACCCTCCTGCAAGGAGAGACGCGTCAGGAGAGAGGCTGGAAGAGGATGCTGGTGGACCAAGACCAGCGGGGCAGGCTGCCCAGGACCCACCTCT